GGGGGGGGGGGGGGGCTCATGCCTTCCTACCCAACGCATGGGCTTCCCAGGAGCCTCTGATGGCCACAGAGGGAAGCGCAAAGCTGGACCAGGCAGAGCTTTGCTCTCCTCCGCTCACTTTGTAGAGGCTGGATGAGGGCAACGGGTGGGCTGGAGCGCCTCTCCACTTCAGCCCAGACCCAGCAGCCCACAGGGGGGCAACTCCCAGCTGGCATGCTGCCGCACCTCTGCACGGTGAGCCACGTCTGCCACCTGGGTACTTCTTAGCTTCCCTTCTCGGGAAGGGCTGCTTGCCATCCTCAGCCGGAGAAAGCCCCCAGGGGCCGCCTTGATCCCGGGGAAGGAGGCCTGACCTTTGGGCAGAGGCTCTAAAAGGACTCTCTCTGAGAAGATCTCGGGCGTCTGGGCTTTGGCAGCGAGTGGGCATTTGGCGTGGCCTGCTCTTCTTCTTCGGGATCGCGGTGAGTAAAGCCAAAGGTTCGCCGAGAGATTTCAGGACCAGAATGGGGGAAAGGGCGGGGCGGAAGGCCGGCTGTCCGAGGATCCGCCTGGTGAGCATCCAGCGCGCTAAGATTGATTGTCTGAGGGGCATTTCCACTCTTTCTGGCGTGTTTCCCTGGCTCAGTACCTTGAACGGGCGCTGCCACAGAGTTACCCAAGCAAAGGTTGAGACCAAGATGAGCCTCCCCCCCACCCAGCCTTTTAGTGTTAAAAAACCTGGCACACTATGGACGGGGGGGAATAACCTCTCGCCCTCCTCGGTCCGAATATTCAGATCAGGCCCCCGAGTCGCTCAGGGGCAGGGTCCCAGCTCCAGGAACGTTCCTTGCCACAGACAGGCAAGAGCCCCCTTCTGCTCTCGGTCCTTCTTCACCTCAAGCCCCCGCGAGACAGACCACCCTCCCGCCAACAGGCGGGCTTCGTCTGGCCAGCATCCCAGGCTGTCCTCCTTCAGCAGCTGGGCCCCTGGCGTTGCCCGCCCTGGGACAAGGTCCTCCAGTCAGGCAGGCGGCACAGGCTCAGGAAGAACCGCTGAGCCCTCGGAGAAGAGCTGTGTGCCCCGAAGCCTTCAGATGCATGGAACAAGATCCCCTGCGCAGAATTCAC